TGGGTTTGTTTAGTTTGGAAAAGAGAAAACTAATTCTTTCAGCCTTCCTTCATAGGTCATGTTCTCAAGACCTTTAATCATTCTTGTTGCTCTTCTCTGGACCCTTTCCAATTTCTCCACATCTTTTTTAAAATGCGGTGCCCAGAACTGGACACAATACTCCAGCTGAGGCCTAACCAGAGCAGAGTAGAGCGGAAGAATGACTTCTCGTGTCTAGCTCACAACACAGTTGTTAATACATCCCAGAATCAGGTTTGCTTTTTTTGCAACAGCATCACACTGTTGACTCATATTTAGCTTGTGGTCAACTATAACCCCTAGATCCCTTTCTGCCGTACTCCTTCCTAGACAGTATTATAGCCTACAGCATGCTGTAGGCTATAATAGCTTAAGAAGGAATTGGGGGGAAATGAAGTTATGGGTACTGAAATTAACAAAGTCACTGGCAGCTACTCTCAATTTGCAGCTCTGAGATGAAAATCACAAAAAATATTCTTGCTCACATACTTCTCAGCATAAAGGCATATTGTTAATATTGTTGTTAATGTTAATGTTAATAACATGATTGCAAGAATATTTACTCCACGTTTAGCCCAAATAATATAAGCACAATACACTGAAGAGAGCCAGAAAACAAATATTTTGAAAATGTCCCATATGTTATCAATACATCTTGTGTAGTTAGCTTTTTTTAAAGAATTTATAAAAATGTAAACACTGTATGCCATTCAGTAACTACCTGAGCATAAGGCATAAGGCTGAACAGTCCCAAGACAAGTTAAACATACTGAAGTTTGGATATTTTTCTCAGCCATGCAGAAGGTAGTGATGCTTGAAAATTCTTTTTGTTATTTAATGATGAACACATCTTTTTGCTGATTCAATACCTTTTATTCTATGTATCCATAAGTTTGTAATGAAGAAATGGCCAACTATAAAGGGGTAAAGAAATGTACTAAAATAGCTAGAGCCCTCACAGATTTGTACCCTTCGGTACAGAAAATGTGCACGGATATAGAGGAACAACCTTTTTAAAACAATAATAGAGTATGAATATCTGTTTAGGTTGAATGTGTATAGTGTCTTATTCACAAATGTGAAGATACATTACTTTTTCTGAATAGACTCTGTAGAAAACCTGCCTATGATGCATGAAACTTTTATTAATTGACTCCTTAGTCTCCTATTAGGCCAGCAATTAAGTTGTTTCGGGGCACTGGTTAAAACTAAGGTAGGAAAATTATAGTTTTGTGAAATAATCATGTGTAATACAAGCATAAAGCATGTGTTTATTTTCGGAGTTTAATATGAAAAGTACTCTATGTGAGGACAGGCAAGAAGGAAAATTTTCAGAAACATCGAAGTGGTAAAGAGCAAATTAACTGCTGTGTAGAAGGTCAATCTCCCTGAGACTGAAACATCTAAACTAGGGATCTGCAACAGTACAGTTACATCAATGTCTACACCAGTGCAAAAAACCTCAGTGTAGATCAGCCCATTTATATCAGAATACTAGTTATATTTTTGGATCATCTACTTTTCTTGTTGACTTCCTAGCAATAAATTCGCAGGACATCTACAGACCTGTCAAAGAATACAGAGAAAAAACCTGCCTCATTACAAAAGGCATTGCATGGGATCTAATATTCCAAATTAGATGTAGGGCTCTTATACATGTTATCAACTCAGTAATACTCCTGCAGTACATTAAAAAGCAAGAAGCAAAGGAAAAGTCATATTTTCCTGAATGTAAACAGCAACTTATGAGTGTACTTCACATTAGAAAAATGCATTCAGGTACCTCTCAAAACCAGGCCTATTCATGGTGTGGCCTTTATAATCTTGATGGGTTAGTATCACCAAATGTTATCTTAGAGCAGTGATTGTGCCACAGGTTCAAGCCCCCAAAAAACTACAGTATCAGGATTAGCAGAGGAGAACCACCATCAGAAATATCATTAGGTTTGGAAACTATAGGAAGACACAAGTAATACACTCACAAATTATCAAACATCCTTTTATTAACAATTTCATTAAGCAGATGAACGATGCCACAACTATTGAAATATACAGAAATGGAGAAAAAACATAAGATGTCCAGTATTAATGATTTCATACTCCCATCCCATGGGGAAACATTAAGATGGGTAAGAGAATCATCCTGATGGGCTTTCCTACTCACTTAGACTAGGTCACATGTTTTATCCTGAGTTTCTTTTGTGCCCATTACACTCATACACCATTATCAATACCTATATTGAATTTCGTGGAAGTCAAAAAGTACACCTTGAGGTAACTGAACCATGAATCGAAAACTGACACAACAATAATCAAATAAACAAAGATCTCGTGGCTAAAGTATGTTGCATCTCTGACATATTGGCATCGTGCCTGTCAGTAGTGCGTGCGCAGAGTACTTCTAGTTCTACAAAGCTGTTGCAGAATTTATTGAATTGCAGTTTCATTTTTCATGTTTTCTGTATAGACTTGCACGGTGCTGCTACTTCAAAGGCATTATTTTACAAATGAGTTTTGATGTGACACTTGCAAAGTCCTGCATACACACTGGCAATTAATTACAATTTCAAAATTAACCACCAAAATTCATTTGCTGCTTATTGCAGTAAGTCCAAAAGCAAGTCCCAACAGACTCCTTAGGAATTTTAAAAGCTTAATTTTTGCTTATAAAAGCCTCAACATAATTTGTTTTCTAGAAAACCAGAATCTTTTACCATTTGTAACCATAAGGACTCATATGTACATGACACATGGACTATGTGCATCTGAGGAGTAAATCTTCACAGCCCTTTCTTAAGTTTTGAAAGCATTCTTCTAGTTTTAAAAATGATATTTGCACACAGGGATCCAGTGCCTTGAAACTGCAGTCCAACCAGTCCTAGCAGAATCAAGAGTACACACTCATGATCCTTTGCTTTACATTACCAGTGATGAAATGGGAATTTAAAAAATAAACAAATTTAATGTGTCTAAAGTGGTTGCAGTGACCACAGTCAGTGTCCACAGGATTTCACTTATTTTAAGATGCAAGCCCTCATGGGACTCCTCACACTGCCACACTTTTATAAGGATAGCACTATATCTTCCAGTGTTATTTTTTTTTGTCTAGATGTGTTTTTTTCAATGAATAGAGCATTGTAAGCCAATCTGAAAGGAGAAGAAGCATGGATGATATCACAAGAGTTAGAAACATAAAGTGACCTCATCAGATGAAGGGAAAAAACATTCCCCAGGTTATATAAAGTGTTACAGAAATGACTTAAGCTAAATTGATCTAAAGCACTCAAACTGAAATAAGTATTTGCACAAGGGAGTTACACTGATTTATCTACATCAGTTGAAATTGTTCTAAACTGATTTAGTTAAATTGGTACAACCAGTGTGTGTAGACAAGGCCTAATTTATGTGAAGCTGCCTCAGAACATTCAGGATTTTCCACTAGAGTGCCACAGAATCCAGGGTCCAAAATTTAGGTTCAACTTTCAATGGAGTACACAAGGCCTAGCCTACAATAATATAGAGAAGTAATACTGTAAATTCTGAGGTAACCCTGGTTCTGATTCATTTTTCCCTTAGACCAAAGTAGATCAGGAATAACTTTATAAAGGAGTTTTAACTGGAGTATACCTGATGTAAATAGGAATCAGAACACATATCTATTTAGGAGGACAAATGGGACATTTTTAAGGGTAATTGTTATATTTATATACATATGCTACATATCATTTTTGAGCACTGAAAATTATACCAAACCATAGGTCCTTTGCTGACCATAGGCCCAATCCAAAAATTCAATAGAATTCAATAGACAGACTCCCATTCATTTCAAAGGGCTCTGAAGCAAGGCTCGTAGGTGCAGTCTGTGCATCCCAGTGGAGATGCTGAGCAACAAAGGTCATGAGCTGTGGAAGTTCCCATCTGGCCATGTGCTGGGAGCACTGACCCAAGAGTAAGACTTTTTTGGAGAAATTAGTTTTAACTATGGTTTGAAGCAATTATATTTAGTCTCTGTCAAGTCTGCTCTTCCACATTTGTTTATGCATTGTCATGACACCAGACATCTTCATGCAACTGCTGAAATCTGTAACAGCCATACTGGCATCACTAGGAAACTTAAAAGAGCCCTCAAACTTCATGGAGCCTATTTTTTAAAAAAAAGTTAATTTAAATGCATCAATGCTTTGATCCCTGTCCTTCACAGCTGGAATATAATTGGCAACTAAATTCTAAATGTTACAAACTTTCCTTTGTTGTTTATTTTAATTTCAATTATTTATTATTAGAGAACAGTGTCCTGGAAGAACTGTATTATAAGTAACGAAGAAACAGAATCCTCATATTGAATAATACAAGTACTCAAGAACAAATATAATTCACAATTCAAATTAGGTATATTTGATATCAGTGTCTTAAAGACAAAGTGGGTTTTTTCTTTGTATCAAGATGGAAAATTGTGAAAGCTATTAAACTACACCCACCTTTAGCTGCAAGCCTTGTGGGAGAACCATGTTTGCTGGAAGCCTTTTAATGTGTTGGTAGACATAAGAGGCACACTGCTCCTGCTCAGCCTGTAATTGTGGGGCAAGTTTTGAGAGGTGACCTTTGTAGCTCTTGATGGCCACTTGCAATTCCTCAATGAGCTTGTTCACCTGAAGGGTTAAATTACAAGAGCTGTTAGCAAGAGGCAATTGTTGATGTCACACCTACGAGAATTTTCATTACAAACCTGAGGGAAAAGACAGCTTTTCAGTGCAAACTTTGAATGGAAGTATAGAATGTATTTGATCTCTCTGTATACCTACTGCTTGTGTCTGACAGAGAAAGACCACACAAGAAATATACACAACAGAGGTGATGGGTGAAACAAACCTTTTTTTATATATATATATTTTTCTGGTTATGGATGGCCACAAAGTTCATAAGTAGGTACATATGCGTGATCATCTTTAATGAATGAAAATGTATCAGTCATTCAAATCCCCCCTTTTTAAAAATCTTTTCCATTCACAAACCAATTGGTTATAGTCCATAACATCACCAGTGATGCATAATGGATATAAATAAATTTGTAATTCAAAAAGAATGGTTCTACTGGAATTACATCTGCTTGGATATATTTATATACATGTTTTTTCCAGATTCCATAGCAGCGTTTTTAAGATATTTACATGTCTTTAATATTTTTATTTTAATGAGAACAGTGACCACATTCCTCATGACTCCACAAATTAGTAAAAGAGATGCTCTACTTAGCCATGAGGTTTGAAAAAGTTTCAAAGATGGCTTACCCATTTAGGGGTAAAAATGATATTTGGAAGACACAATATTGGTCCTACAACTAGAGTTTAGAACTCATATCCTGGGAACTATTAGCAACAGCTGCCAATATGAAATATGTAACCACCAGCATCATGAATTTAAATCTAGCACATCCCCTTTCTAACAACCTGGGAGTTGAAATCAGCAGGGATGTTATTGCAGACAGTTCCCAGATTTGAATTGAAAGGAGAATATTTACACTATGAGAGCTTTGGAATTATCCATCCCTTTGGTTCCAGAAACCCCACATTTCAGGGTATTCGTGGCATGCTGCAAGGCTTATCTATTTATAGAGACAGTTTCATAATTAATCATTAACATTTCGGTCCAAAATATGGAGCTATTTTTTAAAAGAGCATATACACAATTCATACTCATTTGGGGGTGCAATTACTATCACTACATGCCCATATCAGGTATTTTTGCACATGGCAGAACATAGTTATGCATCTAACCATACTTAATAATTGCATTTTTCATATGCAATTGTGCACCTAACAATGAAAATCAGATCATGAATATCATTAGTTTTGTCAATCTTTAAGAGATGAGTAGGGTGGAGTGAGCATGGTAAGTAAAAGAATTATAGCTTTGTAGTGCATATTCAGACACTTTTCGTATTGTTCTATTTTATTGAATTTTTGTATAGATAGATCGAGAACACCACACAGGCAACTGAGTTATATAAGGCTATACACAAAGTCATTTATACATTTTAAAATAAGAACAAAGTTTCTGTGGCTGATGCTACTGGATTAGAACTCTGAAATGTATGTGTAAGCTTTGTCAGAATTTTTCTGTGTTATATTTAAGAGATTTGAAGATATTAACAAGAAAAAGTTTTGATTAAAATCACATACAGAATATCCCTCTATTATTACTTTGCAAGATACACAGTACTATGGCATAAGACTTCTAAATTCCTGCATATTTAAAAAGACTGTGGACATTGCTATATGGGACTAGATCACTGATTCATCCAATCCAGTATTCTGTCTCTGAAGTAGCCAGTACTAGCTGTGTCAGATGAAAGAGGGGAGAAGCTCCATAAAGAACAAGTACAAAATAACTTGTTTACAGCAGAAGTTTCTTCTAGCCCTCATCAGTTAGTGGCTTATGACATGAAGGACACTTTTTAATCAAACATGATACAACTGTGGATGTTCTCATTATTGATATTTATATCTAATTCTCTTTTTAAATCCTACTGAGGCTATGTCTACACTAGAGAACTTACAGCGGCATGTCTATACTGATGTAGCTGTGCCGCTGTAAGATCTCTCATGTAGTCGCTCTATGCCGAAGGAGAGAGCTCTCCCGTTGACATAATTAACCCACCCCCAATGAATGGTGGTAGCTATGTAAGAGGGGGATTTTTCCCAACAACATAGCACTATGCACACTACCACTTATGCCAGCATAATTTATGTCACTTAGGGGGGTGGAATATTCACACTCCTGAGCGACATATGTTTTGTGGACATAAAGTGGTAGTGTAGACATAGCCTAACCTATTGGTCTCATTGATATATTGTACTAATGAATACATTAATTAAGTGCAGTTTTAAAAAAAGCACATATTTTGATCAGCTTTATGTTTGTTGCTTTTCAATTTTATCAAATGTCCTTTATTCTTTTAGTATTAGGGAAAAGTAGATAGAAGTTTCTGATCTACTTTCTCTATACTGTTCGTTATTTTTGTACATTTATCATGTTTCATCTTATTCTTCTCCTGTCTAAACTACACAGTCCCAATCTTTTCAATCTCTCTTCAAACAGAAATTGCTACAGGCTTCTAATCTTTTTTTGTCATCCATCTCTAAATCCCTTGTATTTCTGTTATAACTTTTATCATACAGGTGAACAGAATAAATTACAATGTTCCGGGTGAGGGCGATTAGAATAGCATTACAGTATTTTTAGTATTATTTTCTATCCCATCTTAATATATCCTAACAGTTTGTTTGCTTTTTTGGCTCTCAATGCACAACAAAAAGGGTTTCCTTGAACTATCCGTAGTGATCCCCAGATCTTTTCCCTGAGTGGCAACAGCCATTTTTAGAATCCAGCAATGTGGATGAATAGTGCAAACTGTTCCCTCCAATGTGCATTATATTACATTTGACAACAATGGATTTCATCTGTCATCATGTCACAATTTACCTAGCTTTGTTAGGTCTCTTTGAAGTTACTGTACTCTCCACTCTTAACTAACTTAAATGATTTTGTTTCATCTGAAATTTTTCCCACTTTACTTTTTGCATCTTTTCCAGATGATTAATAAAGTAAATAACATCAAACATAATACAGAGTCTGAAGGCACTCTACTTGTTAACCTTTTGCCATGTTGAAAACCGCTTATTCCCCCCCCCCCCCCATTCTTTGTTTTCTGTTTCTTAGGCAGCTTTTTGTAAGATTTTTCGAAAAACAAAAAAACTTTTTTAGGTGGTTTTAAATCTTAAAGACACATTTTAAGATTCTGCACAGCTCACTGCAGGATGTGGAAGTCAAAACATAACTCAGCCAAATTATTTAGTTGATGTTCCTACTGCAATGGTATTGGGTTATATAATGTAAATGTTACTTAGGGTGAGGACTGTTAGAACACTTTCTAATAAATGTGTTCCAATGCTATATTTTCACAGTTACCCTGATATCATCAAAACCCTTTAATATGTATAGAGCCTGACATTTCAGAGTCACCTATGAAGTAGATTCTCTTCATATGCCATATATAGAAATCCACTTTTACATGCAATTTTTAAAAATAACGTATTAAAATAATAATCTGAAAATGCTCAAGCTGTTAATTTAACTTTATCACTCAGTTTTGGGGGTATTGATGGTGCAAATATTTCAGGATTTGGTCATCCACTGTTGTCAGAAAAAAAATACCCATAATTCTTTTGTTGGAAATTTTAGGATGTTTCTTCAGATAAACTTTATATACATTTTAGTACCAGGAAATGTTTACAGAAGTTCCTTTTGTTGTTAGGTAACAGGCTATCTCAAAAGGTAACCCTACATGTGACCTAGGCGAATTATATTAAAATCTAGTAATACAATACCCCTGAACTATTTTACATAGTAAGAATTTTTTTCAATTCCCAGATGTTGCTAAAAGGGGTGTGTGTGGGAGGGGAGAGGGGGAATGGAGAAAGACCTGTAAAATTCTTCATCATGAATCTTTTTTCTGCAAATCCTTTTTCCCCCTTTTCAAAAGCAATTCTGAATAGAGGTAAAAGAAGACAAAACTTGACCTTTTGTGATCCCAGCATTAATAGGTCTGTTCATAATTCAATCTGTGTGTGTGTGGATGCATCCATGTGGAAACATGCAGGCCTGAGAGACATAAAGCCTTTCCCTTTAAACATTATCTGACCCTATGAGTCCTCTTCACAAAAGAAGGCTTACGTACGCATAAGTTGAAAAAATGCACACTCTCATTGTGCTGCAGAAAGCCTACACATTTTACTCCTCATTCTCCAGGAAAACTCGACAAGGAAGTGACACTAGTACAGGATTTGGGTGGGTCTACGGTAAGTGAGCAGATTGCTTCAAGAAAAAGTGTATGGAAATAGGGAAACTAGCTATTTCTCCTATTAAAAATATAAGGTCATGTCCTCAGTTGGTGTAAATCAGTGTAGCTGCACTGACTTCAGTGGAGCTGGGTACTGTAGCCTTGCAAAATTCAACTCAGTGAAGGAGAGTAATCTTTTTTAGTGCAATAATCAAATATTTTCCCCCTCCCCCTCCCTTGTTAGCTGAACTCATCATGATGAAGGGTGCATGTGTAGCTTTTTGAGCCTTGGTTTGTAAATGTTCATGATACTTTGCAAAGCTCCTATACTGGACATACTTATACAGAATACGTAGGTTTTATTCATACCTCTAAATCATATACTTTATACCTTTAACATTTAAAGGTGCTCCTGTGAAGTCAGAACAAAAAAAACCTCTAAGCTTTATTTTTACTATAAATGTATATAAAAGTCATCTTATTATTCATACTGCCTCCTGTTTCTCCTGTTCTCCTTAATACTAATGTCAGCTGAAATGCTATACAACTCACAGTCCACACATTATCAGGAAGTGCTCTAAGCTACTTCACACTAAACCTGTCAATTGAAATCTCCACAAAGGGTAGAAGACGCACAAAAATAGCAATATCATCTTAGATTTAACAGACCAAGTTTTCAGCTAATGAACATCAGCCAAGCTCTGACGACTTCAGTGGATCTATATTATCTAAGGGTCTGGGTCCAGCATCCTTAATTTGTTTCTAAACTAGGTCTGAAAGTGACATTAAGTATTATAAAGGAATTGTTATTTTTTTAAAACTAAGGATCCAGTTCTGCAAAGTACCAAGCACCTCGAAGTTCTCAGCATCTCAGCTCCCACTAAAATCTGTTGGAGATAAAGGCCAGATTTTTAAAGGTATTTAGGCACCTAAAGATACAGACAGGAGTCAAGTATGCTATCACTTCTGAAAGGTGCCTATCTGCATCATCAGGCACATAAATACCTTTCATAATCTGGCCCTAGATAATCAGCACCTTCTAGAATCACGCCTCACAAGAGATGTGTTAGAAAAAAAAGATGTTGGGAAGCAACAATAGTAAGGAAAGAGATTCAAGATTTATAGTATTGAAAATATTTTTGTTTCAAAATGAGAATGGCGTATTAAACTGGTTCATAGGAAAAGAGAAATTCTCAGGATAAATCTATGATGGTGCGTCATAGTTATGTTATCTAGTGATGTTATCATAGACTGATAGGGCACTATTCTGCAAATCTTAATCACACAAATAATACTATTGACTTCAATGGCACTACTCTTGTAAATAAAAATTACTTGTGTCTGAGAGACAGCATCAGGCCACTATTTAACACAACAGTGCAATTCAACTGTAAATGAATAATCAGAAAATTGCTCTGTTTTTTGACTGGCTCTGCACATCTACTTTTTACATAATATGACTGATAAGAATTAATATGTTTGCAAATGTGATACAAAATTTTTAATTATGATTAAACTTGGCTGAAACCTTTATTGGTGGAATACAATTATTTATAAAATACAGATAACATTTAAAATAAATATGCATCAATTAATATGGAATTATAATTAAGTCCCTAAGGAATACACCTCTACCCCGATATAACGCTGTCCTCGGGAGCCAAAAAATCTTACCGCGTTATAGGTGAAATCGTGTTATATCAAACTTGCTTTGATCCGCCGGAGTGCGCAGCCCCGCCCCCCTGGAGCACTGCTTTACCGCGTTATATCCGAATTTGTGTTATATCGGGGTAGAGGTGTATAAGGCATTCAAATTAGTATCAAATAACTTTAAAGCTACTCTATTATGATCATATGTAATATTGATAATTCATAATTCCATCAATCTAGGATTGATTCTTATTGACCGGACTATCTAGACTCCAAGTTTCCATAAAGAGCTGCCTTAGACAAATCCTCAGTATCAGATTGTCAGAAAAACAAACAAACCACAAATGAAGAACTCTGAAGAAGGACAAAACAGAAACTGATAGGACAGGAAACTACAGAACCAAAATGGAGAGGGCTAGCATATACATGGAGGAAAGACCAGAAGAACATAACAAGACAGCCATTGCACTGTAACCCACCGAGCAAGGATAACATGGATGCACGCAACAGAAGCAGAACTGAAAGTTATCAAAATGATATGGGAAGTAGCTAAGACTGCAGGAGTCAAGCAGCAGAGATGGATGCAATGGTGAAGACCCTGTGTTCTGCATGGAATAGAGAGGCATAAGACAGAGAGAATCTAGGACTGATTTGCTTAAAAAAACCCAAAAGACAAAACACATTGACCTAGATTCTCTAGTCTGGGGAAGCTGTGTTTGTTGCAAGTCTGCTGGGGAGGGGGGCAGAAGAAAAGGCACCTTTAAGCCACCTCTGTTTGTGCCCAGAGACTGTTCCAGAATACAAATACAGCTGAAGCAGATGGGCACACTGGACTCACTCCCTTTCCTACACTAGGAGCTAGGGGAAAGGGTGGTATCGAGCCTCTTTAGTGGCCTGTATCTCTCAGGTACTCTTCATGTGGGGAGATTATTGTTTTGTCTCTCTTACATGGCAAGGATTTATAAACCTGTTAAAACTTCCTAAATAAATGTTTAACACACACTGACACCCTCCTGCCCTCCCTCCCACTGGAGCAGAATAGAGAATCTGATCAATTGTTTCACGTTATTTTTCATCCTTAAATTATAACTAACTGATTTTCACGTATAGTTTGAATGTAAATTTGTAGTGTCTGTAAATGAACTCTGTAACATATAACATATAACATACGCTAGACTCCTATAATTAAAAAGTATGTGTGATTTAGACAAATATCTATATCAACTTTGTGTTTCCTTTTATTGCCATGTGCTTCCAACGTATCAAAGCAAACCACAGGCTTGTAAGAGAAACTTCTAGGTAGCATTTTTGTGAAGGAGCAGTAAATTCTGTTTGTCTTGGGTGCTAAGAATTAAGAAATTGGTTGGTCCCTCAGGATCATTTCTAATAAGGGATGAGGATATAAATGTTTTGTCATTCAGTGCATGCCTTTCAGCAGGCAGAGATAGAATTAGTATGTCCACCAAAATTTATTTAACTCCAGAGGGAGCTACTGGTTCAATCTCCAGAGATAGTCCTAGGACTTTTGCCTAAGTAAGGAGTTTAAGATTGGGGCCAATGCGCACAGTATATTAAATTGGTTGGTTATGGATTAAAAAAAGCAAATAGTACAAATGGTGAGTAAACTACAAATTTTCAATGCTGAATAAAGAAAAGTAATGATTAGTCAAAATTATTAGACAAAAGAGCTCCTGTGTCCTGAAGTTTTGTGTGTTCCTGCCATCGTACGTGCATGAGTCTTTCAAGGGCTACCATTTCAAATAAGTTATTACATGAGTCTTCAATCTTTGGAGACGGACAAGGTTTCCACTTTTCCAAGATAAACTATTTGCATACAGAAACAGTCCATGGGAACCAGAATTTTGAAAGATTTCTAAGGTCTAATTTTAGCTATGTAAGTCCTAGTACTGTTTGAAAGTTTCAGATGTTAAAGGAACATCCAAATTTAAATAAAATATGTTCTGTCACGCACATCTCTCCAAACGCATGTCACCTTAGGGCAGACCCAGACTATAGGCATCAATGAACCAGGGGCTTTGCAACATTTCCTATATTTATCATCCTCTTTTGTGCCTACCTTAAATGCAAATAAGGTGGTTCACTGAATCGTAAGAAGTATTTTCTGTTGAATCTATCAGCTGAGGATTATTCAATATGATACAGCCAAATTCCTGTGGTTTATAGTTTAAATGATTCCCAACTCAGATCCCATGAGGAATTCAATTTATATAGCTAACTGCTGTTGCTTTTATAAGGGAAGAAGTCACAGACATAGGCCTAACATATTTATCAATACCCAGCTGTTTTAGCCAATATGGAGATTATAGAGTGGCAAAAGGATTAGGCCAGAATAGGTGCTCCTGTAGATGCATTAATATGAGATACTGCCAAGAACATGATTTCTGGAGACTATGTGTAATTTTGGGCCTCATTTGGTTTTAATGCATCTTCTAGCTTTATCCCAACTAATTCAAGAACTCCTTGTCCTGTCCAGTTTCCACATTATAAATTTATTTCTGATAAGAGAGTTAACCTGAAAGAACTAAGTCTTTGTACAGAGGGAGGTGAAATATAAAACAGGATCATATTCACGCTGCCATCATTGGGGATTTTGTCTTAGAAACTTGAACGGTAGAGCTCAGCCCACAGAAAGGAGACTAAGACATTAATTCTTATTCAATATGTAGCCAAGCAGGAGTATTCCATCTGTGTCTTAATATCATAACACTGCTTGCTTTAACAGGAAAACGCAGTAGTACATTTTGAGGTTAGAAAATCTGACCTCACCATGTGTACATGGGTAATCAGTATTATAAATGCCTTCTACTAAATCAATACGTAGCAGATTATTTTAAATAACCCTCCTCTTTTAGGTTTCAGAGTAGCAGCCGTCTTTTAGTTATATGCAGGGATTAACATCAGTTTTATATTCAAATATTAATAATAGCTCTCACTGTCTTTGAAATGTTTTTCCAGATTTATCACAATATTTAACTGATATAATTCACTTACCTTTTCTTGCTCTAAATATAATTCCTCTGTTGTCATTGAAAGAATGCCTTTTTCTGTGATTTCCCCTCTCTGACCATCAATGGCAAAATCCATCTGAAAAATTTAAAATCATTTCTTGAAATATGCATAAAATGCTTTTGATTACAACCCATATTTACAATAGTGAAAACATTTTAATAGAACATTGTGATACAATCATTCATATACAAGCTCATTCACAGAATATTTATTCTATGGCAATTTGAAAATACAGTTTTTATCAACATTCTAGGGACAGTTTCAATTTAGAATATATATATGAAAAAACTCATCCTTTAGAATGAATAACCTAACTTTGAATATATGAAATTTTTAATTTTTATCTTATAGTTATTTTGAAGTTGGCAAACAGTTTTTAAGATATATCTAATATAGACAATAATAAAATAAGTTGTGGTACCTAATACTTTTTAGTCATTCACTACTATATAGCTTGCTTAAAAATCACAAATTCTAGCTCTGTGAGTGGGGTCTGCTGTTACCTCTCCACGGTGATGCTAAGAGAGAAGTGGCCCCAACACCACATTTCCCCTGATGAAATAGTCTTCTGATGAGATTTCTCAGCCCTTGCCCCACTCTGGGATCACTGTATGAGGACCACAAAGCTTAGACAGAGCCACTGTCCCCTCTGCAGGAGCAGATCCCAAACAAATGGTGCAAGTGCACCACCTTTCCTTTTGACCCTCTCAGGTTATCAGTTGTGAGAACTTACTGGGTAAAATCCTGTCCCACTGAAACCAATGGAAGCTTTGCTATTGATTACAATGGAACCAGGATTTTACCCACTGTCCCACACTTTGGGTGGAATTGTGACTACACATCTTGGAATAAGCCTTACAGCCACACACACAGAGTCCAAGTCTCTGCACAGGAAAAGTATATGCTGGGAACTTGCTACTGCTAGGCCACATTGTCAGATGACTGGGTACTAGTGCATCCATTGGCGTCACAGAGCATAGCTGATAGTAAGACTGAAAGGACTGAGGGTGAGTGGGTAACTATTTAGGCAACTGTACAAGTTAAGGTTGATTAATGATAAAGTATAGTGAAGTTTAGGCCAAAAGCTTTTCACCATAAAGCCAAGGTTTTATTCTTGCAATCCACAATGGGCACCAGCACAATTAACACAAAATGCTATCTTTCACATGATAAAACACATTGTAGACGCCCTTGTAGCTTTCTGAATACAACAGAGTAAATGCTTGGAAACCCAAAAAGACTATGAGTACTGTAGTAAGACAAAGCTCCATGCCATTATTAAGAAAATGTAAGACACAAACATTTGAACGTTTTCAAACTCTTGCTGTGTTGTTCATAAATATAACATTTAAATACATTTTGCAATACTGTTCACAAATAGAAATCAAATAAGAAATATGTAAAGCAAAAGTTGAATCAAGAGAGAGCATTTTCACTTTGAAAAATTATGCAACGTTAATAGCGTCTCCTTCAAGTATCCAGACATAATGATAATATGCCCATTTTTTCTTTTAGGGCGCAATTCTCCTGTCATTTATGCCTAGCGCATCTCTGCATTTGGCATAATTTAAATGAAAGACACATTACAGGTCTCACTTGTTCAGACTGCATGAAATCTTTTTCTGTTCTGTTCAGGTTCTTACATCATGCCCATCACCACAGAGTCAAAGTGCCTGCTGTTTGAAAAATGTTTTGTATATTAGGCATCATTTCAGACAGACAACAGGTGGGTGCCTTCCAATAAGATTAAAGAGACATATAATTTGTCCAACAGAACAATTTTGTCCAAGAGAGTTAACTACATATGTCTTTCAAAGATTAGAAACACTTCAAAATGTTGGCATGCCAGTTAAAAGTTAGGAAGACAGTTTCCCCTTCAATGCTAAACCTGGGCACCATTCACAGTAAATCCATGTATCATCAAGTATTATACATGTACTAAATATGGGAGTGAAAAAAACCAAGAAGCTCTACAAGTTGCAGTTCAGAGAGTTCCTACGGAGGTAGAGATATAGAGCTGGATCTACATATAAGTATAAGTCAGTATTGATCCATTGACTTCCATGGAACTAAACCAATTTACTGCAGCCGAGGTTGTGGCCCATGGCTTTCAGATCCAAAAATGAGGCAATGCTTCATATGTGTGGATATCACAAGATTCACAGGGAAATCCTGTGGATCTTGGGGCATCCAAAATGTGCCAGGGAACCCATGTAGAGAACCAGCCCTTCCCCCTTGCCAGCAAAACTCACTCAAGAGACATGCTGGCATGGTCTCCTGATCCATAACCCAAAGTGGGTTGATGGCATAGAGCAAGACCCTATAGATAACAGAGCAAGCACTAATTTCTGCAGGAAATTCCTAATGGGTTTACAGATGGGTGATGGCACAAAAGTGGCTCTTCCCTTGCCCATCTCCTTCTACTTAGGCATGTCCTTTCACAACCCATACGAGACTGATTACTAATGTTCATGTGGAGGACCTTTCACTGAACTGGGGTAGGGGAATTATATTTCTTTAGGCTTCCTGCCTCAAAGAGCCTGTTTACACTAGGGACTTTTAAAACATTGTCCACTAATTTTAGTTCAGTTCCACCCAGGTCAGCAAGATTGGTAGCATTAATGTACATGGATCTCCAGCTGCTGTCATCAATTTATTCATTATGCCAGGCAGACAGACACTGATCAGGATTAGGTGACATGTTGCCGATGTCCCATCTGCACTAGGCTCCCAGCATTGATAACCCAGGTGGAGGTGAATTGGTGTTAACCTGGATGTCTAGAATAGACAGGGGCCACGCATAATTGTGTCATTGGAATAGGAATTCTTCTTTCATTCATCTGTGACATGCAGTGGGAAATTATATGACCTCAACTCTGTACATATACCTGTGCTAATTTTCTCTCTTCATTTTATGATATCTGAATTCTTACACAAATAACAGCACAGTAGTTTGTTATTTTTAATAAAGGATTTAAGAAAGCTTAGAGAGAGGGACAGAAAAGAGAAACTGAAAACAGTGAGAAAAGAGAGAAAAGAAAAGAAGGAATTCAGAATTGAGAGGGAAAGAAATAGAAAGTAGCCAAAACCAAAAGAAAAGAAGAGACAGCAAAGAAGAGTATAATAAAAGAATCAGAAGATGGAAAAGAAATTAAATTAAGAGAAAAAATAGTTAAGGTATGAAGAATTGAAAAAATGTATTTGGACAAAAAATGAGGGAGAAAGAATGAAAGAAAAGAAGTACAGGGAAAGAGAGCACAAAGATGATGGAACGAATACAAAACAAGGAAAAAAGTAAAAAGCAAATAGTAAGACAGAGAGTAAAAGTACCAAAATCAGCAAATTTGATGGACATTGGTCAGTCTCCCTAAATTTTCTGAAAACTTTAAGCGTCTGGGTGAATAGGCAATCTAGCCTTTCTTAAAATCATGTGGGAAAAGCTTTAAAAAATACAATACAATGGACATAATTTTCTGCCACCTTGTATCTTGTGTAATTATTTACTACTTTGCAGAGTATATGCAATGCTGTATTAAAATGCTATCATTCTGATCTGGTAATATTTTACATTCACTTTGCACAAGTGTAACTGAATACATAGATGCAACCCCATGGCGAATCAGGCCTAATGTGCAATTAAAGGCTAGTTGTGACTATTTTACAAATATGTTCACTTTTAATAAATTCTTATAATCTTTTCCTTGTTTCTTTGTAAGATGCATCCCAGACATAATTTCTCCACAAATTATTGAGGAGAATGGGTTCTTAACCTCCCATGGAGGGTATGCAGCTAGCAAAGCATAAAGTTCAGTATAGCATAAAGTGAGCTATGCTTTCTGAGCACACAGAAATTGTTCTTCCAGCATAGCAGCTGTACAAGCCAACTTTTTAGGTGCTGCATATAAACATTTTAAAGAAAGAAGATACCAAATGCTTGTTTACATTTAAAATATGTCATAATGATTAAGTAGGACCTAAGAAAGCCAACTTTTTTTACAGATAACAAAATAAAAACCCTTGAAAGATAATAAAAGGGTGGATTAATCAATTTTCCTTTCAACAGATGGGCATAAAGAATTAGTGGAAAATGTTTGTGTTTTGAGCGATAGAATATAACAGAATGTATGGCTGGACATTTTATAATTATAGTTATGAGATAACAAATGGATCAATAATTATATATTCAAAATACAAAAGAGTTTTAACTAAATTTTCATAGTTTGCTCTAATATTATAAAATATCTAATTAACCTGCATGTAGAGCATATAACCAATTTATAGTCTCAAGATCTCACCATAAGAAAAACTTATGCCCAGTAATTTTAAAATATTAACATTGTTACCAATTAGCACATAACTACTGTTCAAATAAACAATCTGAATTATGTTTTATATGCAGATAAATATAAAAAATACAATTTAACATAAAAACTGTGGCAATCAGCCTTCAGATATATATATTGACAAGATTACCCAATGGCCTATTACTATACAAAAGAGTGGGACAAATTACTTATTTATATATACAAAACATGCTTATAAAGGCCAGCTGCAGGTATTTTTTGGAAAGTGCATTTTAATAAGGTCCTATTCAGTAGGGGAACAAATGGGGGAAAAGTAGTTTGCACTACAGAGTTTAGTGCAAGAGCTCTCTCTTTTTCTAACAACGAAATCAATCATTTGTCCAGACTGTGGGGAGTCAGAGTTAGTTACTGAAAAGAGCTCCATATATAAACAAGTCAATAACTCATTGTGTGTTATTGTTGGTCTGAAGAAGTCTGCTTTCAAAAAGCTGCCCCTGCTTCTCTGAGAATGAATGTCACTGTATTCAGAGAGTGGGAGAGGGATCTTTTGTTTCTAGCTATTGCTGGCTGCCATTTATGTATGGGAAAAGAGAAGTAGCTGCTAGTTGTTGCAGAAAAACTATACCATAACTATTGCACAATTCTACATTATGGCTGTCCTGGAAAAGACCTTATTTTTGTAAATATACTTCTGTTAAAGACATTACAAGTTTGCTTGAACTGCTGAAATCTTTATTAATATTCTTTATATAATTATTTTCACTTTATAAA